CACTTTGGAGTTCATCAGACCTGGCGCTTTTTTGGTTCATCGGACCTGGCACTTTGGAGATCATCAGACTTGGCGCTTTTTGGGTTCATCGGACCTGGCACTTTGGAGTTCATTAGACCTGGCGCTTTTGGGGTTCATCAAACCTGGTACTTTGAAGATCATCAGACCTGGCACTTTGGTAATCATCAAGTCTTCTTCTCAGACCTATCACTTTTGAAACTATCAAGCCTTTCTCTCGGACCTGTCACTTTTGTAATCATCAAGTCTTCATCTCGGACCTGTCACGTTTGAAATCACCAAGTCTTCCCCTCGGACCAATCTCTTTTGAGATCATCAAGCCTTCTTCTCGGACCTGTCACTTTTGTATTATTGGGAAATCCAAATGTAAACTCTAAATAATTAACCGGTCTTCTGCAGCGTAAGTCCTCCTAGTCCTTCTAGAGTACCCGGTCAAGTGCCCGGTGCACACCCCTTCAAGAGTAACCGGTCAAGTACCCGGTTATATGATGCAAATCTCATATGATAACTGGGTTAAGTCCCAAGAGTGGAAGGTTTAACACAAGAGTTCTTGGGAGGGTTCTAGGAAAAAGAAGGCCGGCCCTCTTCAAATGGAATGGTCACCAATTAAGGAGGCTTTCATGGTCCGGTCGCATTCCTTTGTGCCTGGTTGAACTTCTTGAATGGTTAAGTTTCTTGCATGGTTATTTTCTTGCCTGGTCCCCCTTTGAAGTTGCATGGTCTGACTTGCCTCTACTTGAACATGCTTGATTTAGCTTCCAAGTAAAAAGAAATAGCCGGTCTTATACCTTAAGAATTGTTTTAAGAATGCCCAGGTCATATAATGCCCTGGTCTTTAAAACATACAGGTCTAATTGGCTTGGTTTGATTCCAAGTCACTAGAAGTAACCGGCCTAGGATAGATTAGATTACCTCTTGAAAGCGTCTAGATCTTGTAATCTTGAAAACGTCCAGGTCATCTCATACCCAGGTCAAGTATAAGTCTTGAAAACGTCTAGGTCTGGTACGTTTTTGAAGCGTCCAGGTCTAAACCTTTATTTTCATAAACTCCATAAAACGTCCAGGGTACCTCACGCTTGGCTAGTCTTATGGGCCGGCTTACTTCTAGGTTGAACTGCAACAAACGTCCAGGTCATCTCATGTCCTGGTTTAGTAGGCTAGGTTGAAAGTTTTGAAGAGCATTTTAGACGCAAGGCTTGAAAACTTCCAGGTCATCTCATGTCCTGGTCTCTAGACTTGAAATGTAATAAATGTCTAGGTGGAATTTGTCCTGGTCCACTTTCAATGGTTTGGTTGCGTTACGTCACCAGCATGACGTCAAATTTTTGTCTAGGTGCCCGGTCAAAAATGTGACTGGTCAAAGTCGAAGTTCTCCAGATTGGTCTGATTTCCTCAAATCCAACCTTAAAAAAGTGACCGGTCGCTTTTGACAAAGTTGACCGGTCAAATTTTAATTTTTCCCCATTCGCTTTTTCTTGCCAATCCAGAACATTAAAAAGTGACCGGTCATTTTTGACCATGCCACTTTCCTTTACTCCTTTGGCCTGGATGTCATGCCTAACAGCAACCTTGCTCAAACTTCGAACAAATAATCCAAAACGGTTTTGGAATCATCAAGTCTCAACATCAAGACTCGATCTTTTTTTTGGAGATTTTGACCATGTCCTATGATCGCAAACCTTCTCCAAGGTTCAGCCCTCTTCCAGGCAACACCCTTCTTCCAGGCGGGGAGAAGGTCCAAAATTCAGAAAATTACACGGTAAGAGATTAATAATCCAACTGGATCGGTTGGATTAGAAGGGTGTACCCCCATACGGCCACTCTTGGTCGGGAGTAGGTTAGGACGTGCAGGTATATAATACACAAGCCTTTAAGTAGTCTTCCCTAGACATTCCGATCCACAAAGGATGGCTCATACAAGACGTTAATATTTTTTTTGGCATCTTTTCTAACCCTTCCCGACCAAAAAGTCGGTAGGGATCCATGTAAGTATGGATGCGAATCCTCTTCCGGATCCAGCCTGTCTCAAGGCGATACCTCAACATCAAGGCCCCTATCTCAAGGGTTTCTTTTTTTTTTTTGCTATCAGCCCATGCAACGGTCCAAGTCCTAGACATCAAGACTGATCCGTCTACAGCAAGCTTGGTAATCTTGACCACATCTTATCCACCCTCTCTTCTTTCCCTGATCATATTCATGTGGGTGGATTCAAGTACTCGCCTATGAGTCTTCCTCAAGCCCCGTAACGAATATTTCACCCAATTCCCCTTTCAAGGTCATCTCCCTGAGCACGACCCTCACATTCCGGCAATCTGTCGTGTTGTGAGAGTCGGATTGGTGGTAGGTGCACCACTTCTCTGTCCAAGGCCGCTTGTGTTGTTCTCCTTTCTTCTCATCCCTTATTTGATATGATGAACAGACCCATCATATGTGGCTCTCGGCTAGGACCCTCCCATCTGGTCGTCCTTTGGTTTGTCGGCTTTTACCCTTGTATAGCCTTCCTCCAGCTCCCGCTTGCTGTTGTTCAGGACTTCTGCCTCGGCATACTCCCATGCCGTATTGTAGGCTTCCTGATAAGAGGAGGGTGGCCTCCTACAGAATTCAGTGTAGAGGTCACCCGACCGGAAGGCATTCATCAACAAAGACATGGCCGTCTTATCGTCCATCTCTTCTACTTTGTCAACCTCGTCCCTCCAGCGAGTTAAGAACTGAGTCAAGGACTCCCTCTCCCTCTGCCCTACCGTGTTAAGGTAAGTGAACTTCTTTCTCTTGATGCAATTATCCTGGTACTTCTTGCGGAAAACTTTGGCAAGTTTCTCAAAGGACCCAATCCTGCCATGGGGAAGGCCATTAAACCATTCCACTGGTCTCCCTCTCAAGGATGAGAAGAAGAGCAAGCACTCCTCAGCATCAGTGCACCCGGCCATCTGTGCTGCATTGTGGAAGGTGTCAAGGTGGACATTTGGATCCTCCTTTCCAGTGAATTTCTCCACGTCCAGCTTGACCTTACGCCTCAATTTTTGTGCATGTACCCTGGCTGAAAAGGGTGATTTGGCCAGGGTGTGCTTCTTTGCTCCCGCCTTCTCTTCCATCTTTTCCTCCAGGGCACGTAGCTTTCTCGCTACGCTCCCTATCTTGTCTAGATCATCCTCATCATATGAGAGCCTGGTATATGCCGATGCCCTGGGCTGGCTTTCAGCTTCCTCCTCGTCTAGGTGAATCGTCTCAGATTCCCTAGAACGACGAGATTGAGCGGGACGACTCCCGCTAAGTCTTTCCATTGCGCTAGTCCGGCCCATCTCAGGACCAAGACGTAGCTTGGCAGACTTGCGGGGTCCATCCTCTTTGTCCCCTAAGCGTTTAAACGCCGAATCTCGGGTCTTGCTTGGTTTGGCTATAGCCTTACCTTTCCTTCTGCGGGCCACCTCTTGCTCCGCCTCGTCCACCTCGTGGATATTTGAAGGTGCTGCTTCGTTCATGATCCCTTTAAAATTCACCAGGCGAACGTGGACCATCCTTGGAACAAATGTTGATGGGGTCGACACCGGGGGTGGCATAATTGGTGGCGTCATGCCAGGACAGGCAAATGACATGAAGCCCCCTGCTTGTTGTATCATGGCCATCACCTGTTGATAGCCCTGTAGAGCCTGAGCATTTGCCGGGTCAGCAGCAAATTGTGCCCAAGCTGACGGGTATGGTACGAGTGCTCCCCCAGGCGTTGTTATCGAGCCTAGGAACATTGTTGTCGTTGGAGAGGGAGTAGGGGTTGACATGATTGGGATCATGCCAACTGATCCTACCGTGGTGATCGGGGCAAAGGTCGTCCCCATGCCTGGCATCATCAATGGGATGGCAGGAGTGCTCTCACTCGCAGCCTGGCTTGACACAGTGTTGTGGTTGCTTGAAGACATGATTGTGGATATTTAGTGGGGGTAAAGTTTTGACCTGGTCGAAAAAACTTTAAAAATCGGTCCCACGGGTGGCGCAAAAAATGATGGTGTAAATATAGCTGGGCGGGTTAACCGGGTTTAACCTGGACACTCGACCCGTAATATAAAACACACAACAAGAACACAAAGTATGACCTAGACCGGGTAAATCTCCTCAGTCCGAAATATATTTCTTACCCTGTCTCAAGAGTGTACTAGTTTTTAGTGAGAGAAAAGAATGGATCCCCTCCTCTATCAAATATCATCATATTTATAGAGGAGGATTTGTGACCTTCCCCTGTTCATCCATGGACAAAATAGGAAGCTCATGGGAAGGTCACTGTAGATAATGGAAGCACTGTACAATCATGGACTTGTTACTAATACAACCAAAAAGCACTGTTCAATCAAAGACTAAAATGGATATTCTCAATCCAATCAACCCTGCAAAATGACAAACATCCCTTTCATTGTGTGCCTCGTGATGGATGAGCGGCGGGGTGTCCCCTCGACCTCTGACGTGGTTCACCATGCCTAAGAGACTGGACCAATGTTAGCCAAGTAAAGTGATATGACCGGTCACCTTCTCTCAAAGGTTAACCGGTCATTTCTTGCGCTCAACCCGTCTTTTTGGTCTTCTGGAATATCCTTCGTAGCATAAGGTGATATTTTGGCTATCGCCCAAAATGTGACCGGTCACTTTTTTAGTGGAAGTGACCGGTCAACTTTTGACCCGTCCCAATCGAAGAGTTAACCTCATTTGGTGATTGATAAAAGTGACCGGTCATACTTTGACATGTCCCTTTCGGTTGTCCGGGTCGGGTATAGGGATATACCAATCAGTTGTGTTAGTTATAATACTCCGTATAAATTTTAAATAATTGACTTAATTTTAAAATATAAAGTTGATAGGGTGCGAGTCATTGAGAGCCATTCATGAAGGTTTGGGAGCGAGTCATTGAGTATAGGGTGCGGAAAGGGGTATGCATCTCTGAGAACCAGTTTGGTTTCATGCCTGGCAGATCAACTACAGAGGCCATTCACCTCGTGAGGAGGTTAATGGAAGAGTATAGAGCTAGGAAGAAGGAACTTCATATGGTGTTCATTGATCTCGAGAAGGCGTACGATAGGGTGCCAAGGGAGGTCTTATGGAGGTGTCTTGAGACGAGAGGAGTTCCCATCGCGTATACTCGCGCGATCAAGGATATGTACGATGGGGCTATGACTAGGGTAAGGACCTTCGGGGGCGACTCTGAGTCATTCTCGGTAGGGATGGGGTTGCACCAGGGGTCTACCCTTAGTCCTTTTTTGTTCGCCTTGGTGATGGACGTCCTAACTCAAGGTGTGCAAGAAGGGGTCCCATGGTGCATGCTTTTCGCGGATGATATTGTGCTTATCGACGATACACGTGAGGGACTAAACGATAAGTTGGAACAATGGCGCCTTGCCCTTGAGACTAAAGGGTTCAGAATAAGTAGGAACAAGACTGAATACATGGAGTGTCGTTTCAGCGGCAGAGAAACAGAATCAGAGGTGGAAGTTAGGATTGACTCTCACCTAGTACCTAAGGTAGACAGGTTTCGATATCTTGGCTCGGTAATCCAGGCTGATGGGGAGTTAGACGGGGATGTTGGACATCGTGTTGGAGTGGCTTGGGCCAAATGGCGGTTGGCTTCAGGGGTATTGTGTGACCCGAAGATTTCGCCCAGGATGAAAGGCAAGTTCTACCGATCCGTAGTCAGACCTGCTATGTTATATGGGGCAGAGTGTTGGGCGGTTAAGAAGACTCATGTGCGTCGTCTGCATGCGGCGGAGATGCGGATGTTACGATGGATGTGTGGGAAGACAAGGTTGGATAGGATTTCGAACGAAGTTAT